TCCAATTCACCATCTCCGATCGATTTCTCAGCAGGCTAACACCATAATTCGCCTTTTTGGAAACACAATAAACCGCGCATGCGCTAGTCGGACAATTTTTTTGTGTAAGGCGTTCTGTGATTGGTCGACAAAACTAGTCTCGTTTTACGATAATTCTTATAACATAGAGTCGGCAGTATCTCGGCATGGAGATACGATATATAAAAAACTTAACAACGGCAAGAAAATATCAATTAAAAAATATAAAGAGAAATGAAATTGGAGCCTATACCTACATAAGATTGTGTTAAGTCGAGCGAGTAGCTTTGTGTGTTGTTTCGAAAACACAAACAATGCAACAATTCTAGAAACCCTATTGTGTACCTGTGCAGATTGATTCTATTAGTAGACATCTGATATCATCCCAGATTAGACAATCACACCGCCTTTTCAATTAGTGTGAGTGACCGATTTAAGCCAAACTTAGTATTAAATTGTTCAAGAATTGTTTAATGTTCGGGTGCCATTATGCGCACATCGAGTTTGTTAGTGATATAACCATGATATAGGGTAAATTGAAATGTTAACCAAAGTATTTTATTTCATATGCATTACCCCACGATGGGAGCTCATAATACACGACTTGCATTATCAACTAATTAAATGAATTTAAATTTGGATTTCATGGACAGTATTAGAATCATTAAATCCGTCTGATACAAAACATTGATACTGTTACAGTAATGAACATGCTACCGACATTAGGTCCAATGCCGCCCGTGATACTAATCCCCCCTCAGAAAACATGTCTGCAACCAACTCGACACTCTAGAAACCATGCGATAAAAAGCCACAATAGTGCTGAAGCAGATAATTTCATGTTGACGTTTATAATAAATTCATAACAAGAAAATGCAGAATAAGCATTTCAGGGGCAAAACGTGTACGTACCATGGCATCGTATGCGTTAACGCATGGGTGAGCACGACATCACAAGAAAACAACAACTTGACAATGCTAGTTCAATGCCTCGACAGCGCCTTCAGATTGAGAGAAAGTGTGGTTTCATTGTCACGTATGCCAGTGCAGAGGTCAACATTGCAACCCTCGCTGAGTGTAGCTGTAACATTTTTATTTCAAATTGTTATTTTAATCATATTTTTTGTTTTGGTCAAAACAGAAATTGACAAAGTGTTTTTATAAAAAAATGAGTCAAATTTAATTTTGATAAGTGAATACGAAGATCATAGTGTGTGATATTGTAATCCATTTTTTATATACAACATATACGAACTCGTTACCTCCGTATTAGTTCATCACTTTAAAATATGGTTTATGCCCGGGGTTCTAAAAATAACACACTACTTCCGCATATTCAACAACATCCTTTCCCGCCGTTATTAAAATCTAATAATCTCGTCTAATAACAGTCAAAGCGCCCGGCTGTGTTCTTAGCTGTATAGTGAGATTTAACCTCTAATGCGCACTACATTCAGGACTTGAGAGATTTTACCAATTTTACATTGACATTTTCTTTGGGGTAGAATCAATAAAAAAAAATGAATATTTATACTATCACGAAAATGCTACACACAATATTTATAACTGCAAGAGGCTCACAAAGATTTTTTTAGTAGCCATTCTCAAAATGTACATCTACTTTGCCATGCACAGAGAACGTGGCTAATACTTAGTGTACTGTGTTTTTATCACCATGGTGACGGTACAAGTAACATAGTAACTGTATATATAACAACGTTGTTTTTGCCGATGGGATTTTTAAATTGATCATTTCGTATCTTCTTGCAGAGCTATCACTAGCCTAATTTGTGTGAAATTGGACTGCCATTCCCCATTTCGCAGCTCATCTGGTAACAACTTAGTTAGTATAACAAAGTTGTGCGCTGCGGGCACAGTAACAATGGAATGGCGTATTGCGCAAACTGGATAGATTCCTCGTCAATTGGCAATCTTAAATCAAAACGTAAGGTATATCAATCGGAAAGGTAATCTCTTTATTTATTCAGGTCTGTGCAAACCTGCATTTAAAAAAAAAACAATTGTCTGATATCCGTGTACACAGTCCCAGTAGATTTAACATCAAATCTATCATAACGGTCTAAATTTACATGAACGTCTAGAACATTTAATGAGTCCATGGTATACGATTCTTCAAAACAAGCGCGAGAAGCCTGATTATAGCTTAACGAATAATACTTCAAAAAAATAAATATACGATACTAAAGCAGAATACAAGGGAGTACAAACTAAGGACATACATAAATTCAAAAAGACATTTAAAAATAATATATTTGCCAGCGAACTTACAATTTTGTTTTTTATATGTAATGACAAACTATTTATTCGTCTATGAATCGATCTCCCGCTATCTGTCACCCATGGACCGAGCCACTAGGCAAACAAACAATAACATACCCAAATCTAACAGTCTAGTATAACTGACCAAAACACCGTGACAGCTCAAGTGTTTGTTGAGCTTATACAAATAAATTATCTACTTCAAGTTTGCTAAATGTCAATGCGAGTAGTTCTTCCATTTTACTGAGAGGATATTGGGTAAATCTTTTCTGGGAACCAAAAACTAAAGTGACGACCATATAGTTGGTACATGGATGTATGCAAAGTGAATATTTATATATAGTTACAAAACAGTAAAATACAAGCACGGCGTCATTAAATGTATGTGTTTGGAGAAAATGTTTAAAGCACAGATAAGCATACAATTTAAATCAAACGTGTAACCAGCACGCAGTTTTTAGACACCAGTCATGGCATGCATATCGGACAACAATTACCCAAGCAAATGTTTTTTAAAAACAGATTACACCTGGGTAAAAGTGACAGTTGAATAAACGACGCTGATATAAATCTATAATAAATCTATCCAGCACCGTTTCCTCTCAGTGAAAAGCTCGCCTGTATCATTCAATTATTGCAGCGTAAAAGCATATTACTAACTTGCCGAGAATCAAATGCAAAGCGCGTGAAAAAAAGTGTACAAGGCAGCCTTTATTCACTTTTTTATTGTCGCTGAATTTCGGAAGTAGACAACAGACTATTCTATTTATATGGTAGGAAGGTAGGGTACGATGTAGTAGTTATACATTATTCATACAATGATGGTGCAACGGTCCGTGGCTAATGACAGCCAAGTTAATTTACTAACATTTTGGTTTTTGAAGTGTTTCAATTGACAAATTAGTGGTAAGTAATCACAATTGCAAATTTTCAGTCAATGGCGAGACCAACAACGCGCAAACTACAATGTTACCAGTCAGTTTTTAATATTCAGACAGATTAACACGTGCTCGTTTCGTATATGACGTCATATTCGAGAGCTTATTATTGGTCTTGCTTGAAATGAAAATTTGAAGAAATGAAAATTGTTGACACTGAGTATCAATATTCTTGTCTCACGACGAGATCAACTATTGGCTGGCCGCCCAAAATCCGGACATAGTGGAATTTCTGAAAGAAGTGTGAGACGATTCTGTAATCATCGTGGTATACACCCTCAAATAATTTTCAGGTGGATCGCATTGCAAGTTGTCTGTGAACAAAATTACGGGACTAAAACGACCCAATGCCAACTCTGAAATATTATATCACCCCGAAACCTCAGGCATTGAAGTGCGATTTCGAAAAGGTGATAGGTTTCAACAAATAGTGTGACTGGAATATAGTCGCGTGACGAACAAACAACCAGATGATTAATGGACGATTGAATCGCCACGCGGGAACGTGTCAGTGTATTCAGTGTGGTTGACTTTTCAGAGGTCAGAGCCTCAGAGGTTGAGTATCAAAGGATAATATATAACATTAATATTATTGAATACAATTTTTTTAATTTTTAAATATTTAAAGCATCATAATTAAGGTCTTAATGATCTATTGACTTGAAAAATAAAAGTGGGAAATAATAAAATGTGGATTAAATGATCACATAATTAATAGTAAATAAGTGAGAATATGTACACAGGAGTTGCTTTGGTACACTCAGGATAAGTTCTTTAATATGCAAGTTAATTCGCAAACAAAACAAACTGAATGTAAACAGAACTTTCTCCCAAATATGTGTCCAAAGAAAACTCAATGTGGTAGTGGAAGGGAAAAAGTAGACATAGCTGATATACGTTGTTGAAGGCTGACATCTTGAACATACGAGAGATATGCAGAGCTTTTCCAGTCCCCTAGTACTTTGATAATTTTATCTGGTATACCGCATTGGAGTGCCCAAGTAACCCCCCCCCCTCCACGTCGAAAGCTGTGACCTGACACATTGGCAGCAACGATCCCGAGAGTGTTTAGAATCAAACGAAGACGAGATCGAAAAATATTAAGAGTAAGGGGTGGGAAACGGGATGAACGGGGGTAACAAAAAGGACCACTGGCAGGTGCACCTGCCGTAAAAATGATATATTTTAAAAGAGCTGATGTAGGACACAGGGGGTGGCCTGGAATAAAAGTCAGTGGAACCAGCAGAACACGTTGATGAAACTGGATGGTTTTAGACCATCTAATATATAGGAGGATACCCCAGGGCTGAATATGGAGATCCTGCCTGCGAAGATCCTGCCTGTGTATCAAAACCTGCTACATTGGGATCCAAAAGGTTAGATAAGCGCAGAAGGCCGAAAAAGGCAGATACACAGACTGCCCAAAACAGAATGTCATTTACCTGTGAAAAGTCCAGGGTTGATCTAATTTCTAACAACAAATGGGGGTAACAGGCGATTTTCGATCCACCGTTGCACCTATACAACGTTTAACACCCAGGAGAAGAGAGGTCAATACCCAATTATCAGCAAGGGGATTGGTGAGACCTGCCACAAGATGCAAAATACGTATTACATTTAGATAATGCTTAATAGAGGAAAATTTTAGTCTTGTTGCAAGACAGGCAACATATCTACCTAGTACTGTGTTGCTAACTGGGACAGCTTGGTAGCCCATGGAGGTACAGAATCGGAGATAGCATAGCCATTGCGATTATAGGTGCGCTAGGTATAGTGTGCAAAGATCGCTGCTTTGTATGCTGCAACTTGTTGGTCCAGCACAGGTTCTTTTTCTTCAAGATCTGTGGGAATATGGAAATGTATGCTG